ACTCAGAAAATATTCATTCACCGTTTTATTTTGCTAAACTGAAACTGTATAAAGAGCGTAGAATTTAGTGAAGAAACAGAAAATATTTATATTATTATTTTCTCACCGGTCTCTCTGCATATAGTCAGGGATGGACTCGTCTATGACTAGACTTGTAGTTCTACTCCGGCTGCCTGAGATCACTCCTCTATATGAAAATATCAGATGAACAATACTCATGAGTATTTTGTCAAAAGTTATATGAGTACTCAACAATACCCAAGCATGAGTACTCAAAGTCGTACCACAGTACTCGTTACTCACTCATCACATATTTTTACTCATGTGAGTACTCAATGAGTAATAAAATATGTGTGAGTACTCATGAGTACTTGGGACATTTTTCAGCAGAGTAGACTTAGAGTATTCACATTTGAGTACACTCACTAAGGAGGTAGACTCCATCTGTGATGAACAAATCTATACATCGCGAACGTTCGTTCGAACAGGAACTTTTTCAGTGACTTTGAGACCGACACTGCAAATACGCCGCTTCACTGTACTGGGCTCTTACTTTTTTGAATTAACGACAACGGTGTCGATGACTAATGGTGACATCTGATTATCAGTTCTCTCGACTGTAAGTTAACAATGGCAGTCGACATAGTAAAGCTCGACCATTTGGAAATGCGTGTCTAAGCTATTGCAGCAGCTGTACGAAACAGAGCTTAATGACTCAATCATTTGTTTGTGCACACATGTTATTTATTCATCCATCATTGCGTGTTCTTTACCACAATAAAACTATGAAGAAAAGAGCGATTCCTAAGTATTTCTGGTACTTCCTTTTTAGACGAAGCTAGCTCACTTATGAAGTTCTCCACTAGAGACTGTATTTAGTTCAAGTGTTTGATTACTTAATGAACACTTGGAAAAACTGACTAGTATTTTCAAAAATCCTACCTTGCTAAGTACTTGCAATGCTTGGTTAAGTATTGCTAAGTATTTTTCGTGTAGAGGTCTGGTAAATTTTTGAAAAAGCGCAGAATTTTTATTTTTTTTCAATTGTTGGTTCAATGAAAGAAACTCTTATAAAGCCTCTTATTGCTTCTCGAAGTATTCCAAGATTAACAAAAACTTTCATCTCAATCGGTTTTAAATTACATTGTTTTGCTTGTTTTAGAATGCTTTTGCTGAATAAATGAATAATACGACATATTTATAAAAATTCGATTGCTGATCAATCGCAACTCATTAGAAAATGACAAATAGTTTAGAGAGTTATAAAAGTATCTTTCTCGATATAACATTTAGAGATTTTTGGACTGTTTTCTCTATAATAAGAAATGAAAATAATTTTCAAGAACGCGAAAAATGTATGAATGAATTAATATGTTTTTGGTCTCGACAAGCATCGTGTCCGAAGCATTCACCAACATCGTACTATTTACCGATACTATGTGTTCGAACCGGGTTTGATTTATTTTTACGTGTAAATAATTTTCCATCGAATAGTGAAATAATTATGTCGGCTGTAAACATTCCATCTATGGTTACTCTTGTTCAATATCATCAGCTGACCGTTATACCCTGTGATATCGATTTAAATTCAACCGGTTTAACTGTAGAAAATATCGAAAAATTAATAACAGACCGAACAGTTGCTATTGTATTTGCTCATATTTATGGACGATGTTATGACGTATCGGAGTTAATTGATTTAGCTGAAAAATATAATCTCTACTTTATCGAAGATTGTGCAGAAAGTTTTTCCGGTTTTTGTTCGTGTAATATGCAGCGACAAGAACAATTAGATAATAAAACAAGTAACAACCATCAAACGCAACCGCCATCTCAGCAGCGGTTAGTTATACAAGTTTCGATATAGATACTTTATAAATTCAACACATTAATAGCAATTTTTGTTCAATTAAATCGTAGAGATCGATATTTAGCTAAAAGTTTAAAAAAACTTTTCAATGTGAACTATGTAAGCGAAAATAATTGAGATTCGTTGAGTAGAAAATTTTTCTAAAAAATAAGAGAAATTGTAACTTTTGTGGTCTAAAGATGAATTACAAGTGACAGCATTCATTTTTTTTGAACATTTTCTTTCTGATAAACTACTTACAAATAGCATTGCTCTTTTCTTGATGTGAGATAAGAATCAAAACTGTGAAACGACGTCTGTTTCAGAGAAAATGCTAATTAAACACAGTTTTCTTTGTAGGCACTATCCAACTAACTTGTATTGTCATACAAGATCATCATCGATAGACACAGGGATACGGACATCCAGTAACAATGAATTAAACCATGTAAAGTTATGTTATCTTGGTCATCCTCGTTCACATCTAACATTATTTAGTTTTGGTGTATTAAAATTTTGTACCGCTCTAGGTGGCGGTTTATCAAAAATTTCTAATTATGATTTATATATGAGAATGAAAACATTGTATGAGAAAGACCCCGTGCAGGTTACTCAGCAATATTATCTAAATGTTGAAAAGTATCTTTATTTATATTGGATACTAAATGCACCATATGTCACACAATTAGTGATGTTTATTGTCCGATTATTTCAACTCAATCACATGGAAATTGTTGTTGAGCGTTTAAGAGCATTTTCAAAAGCACAATCAGTCGAACAATTTTTCTCATCTATTCGACGTCAACCATGTAAATCATTACTAATATTTTTATTAAAACGTTTTCAATCGTACGATTATGAATTAATTAATATTCAACGTCAAAAAGCATTATATGTAGTCAAACAATTAACACAATCAAATTCTTTAAAATTTATTGGAATAAATTCGTCCGTTCAAAATTTTTGGTTATTTCCTATTATTGTTGAAAAACCAGATTTATTTGTTAAACTATTATCAAAATCACATATTGATGCATATCGTGGCACCACGCAATTAAATGTTATTACTAAACAACTAACAGACACGTCTATCGTTTTAAAAAATTCTAATGAAACTATACCAACAAACATTGGCGAACAACAAATGTATGCTTGTCCAACAGCCGAATATTTAATTGATCATGTCATATATTTACCTGTCCATCGCCTTGTACCTTATAACGTGTTAGATCAATTGATTGCCGTTGTCAATGATACGGCTAAAAAGATTGATCAGTATGCAATAAAGTCAAAATTGTAGTTCAACGATAAATGACTAAAGTTAACAGAAGATTTTCCTTATAGTTGAGGTTTTACTGTTGAAATATGTCATTTCTATAGAAGAGCATTCTAATAAATAAAAGATTTTTCACTCCTACTAGTAGACTTTGTCGAAAATATATTGTGATATCTCTTCCTTGTTTTATGTAGTCTTTCGATAAACAGTTTTGTTTTTTTCTGGAAATAAGATGTCGCTAACAAAATGATAAGACATTTCAACAAGTCATCATTCTCTCGTTAGATAGATCTGATAAGGGTGAGTTTGTATATTTTGTTTTTTAAACGCTTTTTGTCGTGCAATTCTCAGTAAAAGAGGGATAATACATATTATTTTTTTTGAGGTTTACTCAGATAAAAGTTACTTTTGCTGATACAGTTTGTTGTTGTATATATATCACATTTTATGAATTAGTTTTTTTATATCTTCGCACTTTTATTGATTACACCTTTTTAATCGTGAATGGTGCTAAAACGTCTGAGCAGTTGTTGTCTTTTAAACTCTGTTTTATCTGTGATCAAATGAATATTATGGAACTTTTCTGTTTAAAACCTCGGTCTGGTATGTTTTTATTTTTATTTATTTATTTATCTATTTGCTTGTTCTATCGAACATTTTCATTTGTTATTTTTATTGGGCTATTAAAAACAACTTATCATGGATTAAATATGCAATAAAAATCCGTTACTCTACATTCGATTAGTTGATGGAAAATTTTAATTAAAAATTATTTCTAAGAGAAAATGGTAGTGCAACACTGTTGTTCTAACTCAAAAAAGGTTATTTTCCCGTTCAACATAAGTTAAACAAGACTACCAATGGTCTGAGTCTTACTGCCTTGAGTAAAGGTCCTGCTATAATGCATCAACAAAGGAAGATTTTTCCACTCTAATTTTAACGGTATGACATTGCTTCGAGTAAATTTTAGATAGATAATGGCATTTCGTCGACCGCGAATAAATGTCAAACCAAATGTGAATCGTGCTAATCCTCCTACTAGTCAATCAAAAATTACATCTTCTTTATCATCCGACTATAATGAGAACAATAGTAACGAAGCTAGCTCATTGCCACCATCAAATAATTTAGATGTTGATGATCAATTACATCAGAAAATAATAGCAGATCCATTAGTCAAAACATCATCTGACGTAATTACCGCTCTTTCCACTTCAATTTCACAAGAAAGTGATCTGTTACCTCCTCCTACTCTTCCATCATTAACAATTCAAGGTAAAACATATTTTCATCTTTCTGTGTATAAACTTTTGGGATTTGTGCTAGGTGTCAGTTTTCCCGAAAGTCTTATTTTATTTGCTCTTTATTTATAGTTTTATTTAGAAATTCCATTATTGTCAGTTAACGGAGAGTCATCCGAACCACCACTACCACTACCACCACCGCCACCATCATTACATCAACATCCACTCATACGCCGAAAAGTTGCTCCAAATATAAAATCCTCTATCCATCACCGACCGTATTTATTCTACTTATTCTCTCATTTGAAATTTTATCTCATTTTGTTGTATTTTACTTTTTAGACAGTCGGCAAGTTGCTCAGGAACAGAAAGCGAAACTGAATTGAGTAAAACATCGACTGCTAAAAACTACAACAAGTACGTCGATCGATTAATCAATAAAAAAGTTTTCTTCTACTTCGCTGTTGTTTAATTTTAGACCAATATTGTTACCTTCGTCTACTACAGTCAGTGAAATAAAAAATGAATTACGTGACAAACACGATCAATTAGACGAACAGCCAAAACAGAGGCAACAAGATGTGAATGTGATTTTGAAAGAGGATGTGGCATCAGTACCTAATGTGGAACAAGAAAAAGATGTTGATTCAATTATTACTACGTCAAATGAATTGAAAATTAGTCGAGAATATCTTCAACAGTATATTACATATCGTGCACAACGTCAGGCAGCAAAATTAGAACCGGATATGGTACGTTTTTTTAGTGATGCTCGAACAAATTCAGATTTTGTATTTATTGTTTCATTAAAGACCATACGTAAACGCCGTGCAGCTGCCATGGAAAAATTTGCTGATAAAGGACAAGTTGACACAACAAAATTAAAACTAGCTGACTTTGTTCATTATAATCCGTCAGACAATCCAATGCCGTAGGTGTCTCAATTTTTTATTATAATAATTCAAAGTATTAATCCTTTATTTTTGTTTAGTAAAAAAGCAAAGACGTCAGAAGCCGATGATGATACAGCAACAGAACAAAATACTATATTAACTCGCAAAGAAAGTATAGCTAGAGACGCAACGGAACATTCGTCTGCTCCACAGTTAAAATTAGATGCTAATGGTGCTTTAATAGTTGATGAGGAAAGGTCAATATATTTTTTAATACAAATAATGAATTTATGTTTTTACATATTTTTCATTGATTTTAGTTTATATATTCGAAATACGTTTGATGATATTATTCCAAGAAAAACAATTGTTCTTGAAGGTGAGAACGTGTATTATTATAAATGCTTATTCAATTCTATTTCTATGCATTGTATCTTAAGGACGTTTTAACGACGATAATTTAACTCATCAGAGCTACAGAAAAGTTGGAAGACGGAAACGTTGGAATGCAAAAGGTAGACTGGTCCTCTGGTGAACGGTATAATTGTATTCACACATCTCATCAATTTCAGACACCTTACGATTTTATCAAGCATTGAAAATGTGTGGTACTGATTTTACGCTAATATCTCGAGTATTTCCAAATCGCACTCGTGATGATATAAGACGAAAATTTAAAACAGAAGACAAAGCAAATCGAACATTAATTGATTCCGCCTTACGTATGTACTTATTCCGATGTGTACAATGTAAGTTTATGTGTTGTCTTTCATGTCTACATAGGTCAACGAACCCACTTTGATTTAACGTGTTTTTTCTCTCCATCCGAAGAATCATCAGATACAAGTGATAGTGAAAATACGAACGGAAACGATGAGAATACTGGATTAATCACAAAAACAAGAACGAAACGACGAAAGAGAAGACAAAGAGCAAAGAAGGAAGAGCAAGTAAAGGAGACACATCATTCAACACGTTCTGTGATGATATTCGTTAACGTGTATTTTTCATTTCTACAGGAGGATAGAACCAACGCTGATCCTTTAGCAATTAATCTAAGACGTGAAAAAAGATTGAAATATGGTGGGTTTTTTATGCTCGATGTATCCAAATCATCTCAGATATGTTGGTTGTTTTTGTAGTAAAACAAAAGCGACGTCCTAAAAAACCAAAGGAGAAAAGTGTAGAATTTATTGAAGATGAAAACGACGATTCCCTTGATGTAGCGAATACCATTGAAGTAACAACAACAACAGAATACCCAACAACAATGTGTAATTTGAATAATCAGACAAAACAGATTAACACGACGATCGAATCAAAAGTGGAGCAACAGTAAGCAAATAAAAATATCTCTTCGATAGTAAAAAGACTATAAATAATGTCTGTTGGGCACAGTTGGTTGACTTCAAATAGCATTCTCCTTAATTGCTGAACTATTCAGGTTTTAGTATGTTCTTCTATGTGAAACACCTTTCTTTTTAGCTCACATTCAACGACAGAAGAAGAGCAGGAAGACTCATCAAATCTTGTCGACACTTGTGTAAGTATAATTGTCCATCTCTTCGACTAGATGAACCATGTTTTAATTCAATTTTCTTTTTCTTTATAATAGAATATATCCAATATGAATGAATTAGTAAATATACTGGAAAATATTGATGGCAGTCATTTACTATTTGTACATGCAACAGACGAAACAACTGGATTAGATAGAATAGACATTCATGTTGTTGTACCTGATCAGTCGACCGACATAGACAATGAAAGACAAACACCACTCATCTCATCAGACTCTTGAAGATAGTCATTTTCTTCACAGTAGATTTATCTATCCAAAGCGGATATTATTGTTTTCTACGTTTTTCTACACATTTTATTTTTATGCTAAGCCAGAATGTGATTGTTTTTTATTTTATAAAAATCGTAAACGACAAAGTAAAAATCATCGTTACATCGAATGGCCAATGAAACTTTTATTCATAAGTTTAGAAACTGCTATCAGCAGTAAGATGTTCAACAATATAATAAATATATCAAATGTGTGTAAGTGTGAAAAGAAGAACACACTAATGCTCGTCGGTTTTCTCAACCCTTGTTGATCTGAAATAATTGAAACGGTGTATT